AAAAAAAAAAAAAAAAAGTCCTTCAAGAATCACACACAGTAAAGACTTGTGTCTAAAATTCAACACATTTCCTGGCACACAAAATACTTATTAAATGCAAAACAGAGACATAGCTAATGACTTTATTGACCTATCCACAAAGTTCAATTTTTCTGTTTCACATTTATTCTTGATGGGAATTTTCAAATTGCTTGACTAAACTGGCACAATCATTTCTCTCAATCTTTAAAAACAACTTTCAATTATAACTCATCAGAAATCTTAATACCATGAAACACCTTGAAATCAGGGAGAATATCCTTCATCATTTCAAAGACAGGAGGAGAGGGGTATGTATTTCAGAAGTACTTTATAAATTCTGGTCGAGAATTATCCTTTACATTTAATATTCCACAAGCATATGCACTTAGCCACTTTTTAAAACCTTAGATTTAGTTTAATCCCACTACTTCTAAGGAACTATCCCCAGTACCATAGCCACAACTGACGCTTCCCTGTTATTTCAGATTTTTCACAAGGCCCAAACCATCTTGCTGTGCCCTAATAACTGAAGAGAGTTCATTGCAGGCACATCTTAGGTATTTAGATGTGTTTTGTTAATTTAGTTAGGCTTTTTTGGCTCAGAGTTTTCATCAAAGTTCTCTTAATCAAACCAACAGGCATAACCTGTCTGACAAGAGTTTACGAGTAGCACAGATCTCCAGTTCAAAGCAATAGTCACCAAGCTCAAAACAATGTAACCCCACAAACCAGCATGCCCAAAATTAAAGCTTCAAGAAGTGGATGAGAAAAGCAGAGATGGCAGAGATGACAAATGTAGATGATAAGTAGATTTTTATATTTAAATTGCAGTAAAATTAAATGCTTTAAGTCTAGTTTTAAGACAAGCTGCAGATTTTTTTCTGTTCAGTGGATTGTTTCTAGGAGTTAGCATTACAACCTTGGAAGTCTTGTTCACTTTGTCCTGCAGCATTTTTTCAGTTGATGCCAATGCTTCCATTGCTTCCCAGTTTTTCTCCCGAAGGTCCTAATCATTTTTAGAAAGAATGATTTCAGTTTATCCATTATTGAAAGGTTTTTGCTTTTTTACTTCATCAGTATTTTGCACTGCATTTAAATGCTGGTTACTGCAAAATTATTTCAATGGGAAAATATGTATATTAGCAAAAAAATAAAAAGCAATGTTTAGAAGTCTGAATGAGAAAATAAAGATGTCTGTTCCCATGTTTTAGTATACACACCATTATGCCAGCTTAAAGCTATTACTGTGCGCATGTGGCAAAGAAGAAAACATTCAAAAAGCAAATGCACAAATCAAACTACAAATATGATTTCAAGAACAGCAAATATTAGAAGATTAAAGACAGAGCAAATACTCAAGTTTAGCAAAGAGTTTATAGGTGATTTTTTGACAAGGACCTATATTGCTCATGGTATTTTCTACTACAGCATAGCTTTTTTTCCCCTCTAATTATGTCTTACTTAAATTAACATACTTCAAGTCTACCTAGGAGTGACAAGGTAACTCACTATGCTTTTATATATGTTTTCTTAATGTGGCCAAACGTATGTCATAAAACAACATGACACATTATATATGTGTTATGTGAACGAGGAAAAGGGGAAAATCGAAAACTATAAAACATATTCTCTTTGAAGAGTAATAGAAGTCACTGGAAATTCAACTCTAGATTTTAACAGCATTTCATTAGCAAGCATAAGTAAGAACAATCTGCTACAGTTCAGTCTTCAAAATCAGAGCTCTAAACATCAAAAATAAAAAATAAGAAGAAATAATCACCATTGTTAAATGCTCATTTATATGCCAAACACTGTACTTGGCACCTCACATAAAATTTTCATTAATTTCCACAAACCTATGAGGTATTCAGCCCCAGATGGGTAAACCACAATTCAGGCAGATTAAGAAATTTGGCCAAGTGAACATAGAAAATTAAGTGAGAGAAGTAAACTAGACTGATCATAAACTTCTGGTCTCCTGTGTCCTAGGCTCTTTTCACAACCTCAATGTCTCCTACATTACTGTTACTGCTTCATGACACTGTCATTAATGTGCCTTATCTCAGAATCTTGATAATAAAACCCAGTCATGATGTTATCAAGTACACTGGTAAATTTACCTCAGGTTTGGTGGCTAAGCAATGCGTTAATCACAAAAGCACATAAAGGGCAATTCACACATACCTAATTTTGACAAACTCAGGGTGTAGAAACATGTTAACTCACTATATTCAAACTTTCAAATTTTTAAGTTAGATTAGAAAACACATACCAATTTACTATAAATATCTCTTAGATTTCAATTATGAGTTTAGCCTTCCTCAAGTTTTAGCAATCACACCTTTTTTGTTTAAAAATTTCTTCTCTATCAAGAATGCTTGGATGCTACTTAACACAATATCACCTAATGAGAGAGAATGTTAAAATTCATCTAATTTCATTATTTGTCAGTTTTGCGAAATAATTAGGATTTACAGTTCTAGTGTCGCTATCTTCTTATCCCATTCTAGCATACGTATCAGCAGGCTGTGAGATCTCAAACATTCTTAATTACCAAAATTTGTACCATCTTCAGTTTAAAATGTGAGGGTCTAGAAGACTTTGAAAAACATTTAATTACTAAAATGCATGGTGTAATTACTGAAAATACTGAGTTTGAATACTGGTCTTGCTTTTAGTTTATAAAATGTTAGCTCAAAGTAAGAATTACCTTTGTATTCAAATACTGAGCCGAAGAAAAAATTTTCCAAATAAAAGAGCCATAGAAAATTTTAGTGTTAAAAAAAAATTTGAAGATGTAGTTACAGCTTCAACATTTGAAACTATGTTCAAAACTACACAAATTGGTCATTTGCACATACTCAATTAAAATATGATCTCCAGTCCTTACTCCTATAATTCTTCCCCAAAAGTTACACATAATAGTGTAAGAAATCTAAAGTAAGATTGATAAAAAAAATTTTTGATCCATGAAATTCCAGTAAAGTAATAAAAAGAAAAGTCTCATCTGATAAAAATTTACTTACATTGTTTTTCTTCCTCTGGTGTTCAATAGCATCCTTCAAAGAATTTAATTCCTTCTGGAGATCAGATATTTCTCTCTCCCTTTCTGAAATTCTAAAGCAGAACATGAATATACATAGCAGTATTTTAGGTAAACAGGGGAATATAAAATTTTTACTACAAAATAAAAAGAAACAGATGGTACTTTGAAAAATGTATATAAGGCAAACTCTTTAAATTTAGCTACTGCTATCACAAAAAGCTTTCCCTTAATTTTTCAGAAGTGACTTTTAAATGCTTTTTTGCAATAGGTCATGCTGCTTACACTTGTACCAAAAACAAACAAAAAAACCATAAACTGTTTCCTAACAGTTTATAACTATATGAACTGCCTAAAAGTTTATAAATATATGAACTGCGTCAGTTATTTCTATTTTTACAAGTCAATAAAGTAGCTATTTTCAAGAGTGAAAACTGATACAAAGTACTCCACCTATACATATATGTACTTCCCTGCCTCCCCACCCCCACAGTCCCACCCTGAATGAAAATGAAGTAAGTTATTACTTAGGTGGCTAACTCATGACAAACGACAGGTGGTCTCTTGTCATTTTCATAACCATCTCAGAAGTCATTTCCTCATTCTGTATAATGGAGTTAGTTATATCCCATAAATGCAGGCAATAGTGGCAAAGATTCACAATTCAATTCTGTTATAGTTGAAAGCAGCTTGGGTAGAAATTGTTGCAAATTGTTCTTTCTAAAACTAAGGACTTACATAAGGGGCTGGAAAAACTAGCACCAATGTGACCTACAATTTGTTTTTGTATGATCTTTGAGTCAAAACTTCATTTTGTTTTTAAAACTTAAAAAAGAAAAAGAAAAAAAAAGACTATGAAAGACCTATGGCCCACTATCAGATTTGTTTGTAAAAAGTCTGCTGACCCTAACAAACTCAAGACTCAATTTAACAATAAATAATTCTAACTTAGTAAAACATCAAAATTACAAATAAGCCAACATGGAAGAACATTAGATTACTTCTATCACCTAATATACTTGTAATTGACATTTAACGTATTGAAACATACCACATTAGCTGCAATGATCTTAAAATGTAGCCTCTTAAAAAATAAAAACAATGGGGAAAAAAAGTATTCAGTTAAAAAAAGATTCCTTGGCCCTCCCTGGTGGCGCAATGGGTTAGGATGCAGCACTACAAGTTAGCTGTAGTAGTCTTCAGTGCAAGTTCAATCCTTAGCCTAGGGGGTAATCCACATGGCGCAACAGACCACTCCTGTCTTGCCCGCAGCTCCCCTCAGCAGTGTACTTCCTCCATCTGCCTGTTCTGCTCCCTACTCTGTCTCTGGTGAATCCTCTCTCACTGCCACTGCACGTCTGGTCTGTGCCCCAGTTCTGTATGCATACATAAATAAATCTTTTAAAAAAAAAAAAGGGAACTTCGCTCATTTAGGGTTTATCTTATTAAAAAAAGTCTCCTTAGAGAAATTTTAAAATGCAGAAGCTAAACCAAAATGCATTTTTCACTAAGATGGCTGAGATAATTTAAGGTAAATTAGTAAAGCCACCAAAGATTACTTGAATTTGAGTAGTGGTTTTCTGAGTGCCTGAAAACCAAACATGAAACTAAAACCTAAATAGTGAACAACAACAACAAAAAAAACACATTAAAGGACATAACTTCACTCATTATGTGGAATATAAAACAAAACAAAGGAACAAATAAAACCCACACTCATAATTGACTGCAGAACAGAGGATACCAGACGGGGGTGGGGGGGAGGGGGTTTAGATGGAAAGCAAAGGCTAAAGAGGGCCTAATGTCCTATAGTTCTATAGGAGAGGACTATGGGTGCCCCAAAATAATGATAAGCATGATGTGTTAAAACATGTTTGAAGAGGCATAAACCTACTTCTTCTCATATTACAGTGTCATACACCAACATCACCATAGGGAAAAAAATCCAACTTAAAAAGATGCTTTAGCTCAACCAAAAACATAGCTAAGCTCACTGATATGCAGCTCAAGAAATCCATAATTGTAAAAATTAGGTGATCATTTGCTTACCTTAAATTGCTTTAAATACACAACATAGTTTTAAAAACTTAAACTTAAATTGCTTAACTATATGAAACTGTTTAGCACATAAAAGTTACCTCTTCCCAAATGGTGAGTCATAATTATTACTTACACTTTTAGTAGTTCTTCATGAGGAGGAAAAGATGCCTATAAAAAGAGTTAAATGTTATTTCAAAACAAAGCTTCCTAAAAGACTTGAAAAAATGAAAACTCTCCTTACACATATATTAAAACAACACCAAACTTAAATTACCATATATTCTAAATACCCATCACAAGCAATTTTAATAAACATATGTACAAATCTAAAATGTAGATTCTAGAGTGTGTGAAATCAAAACTTCAGTCACTATTTACATAGCTTTAACAAGTACTTATCAATTTTCTAATATATGTAAAGAACCTCATTAATACCTTAAATTTTCAAATTGTATAAATTTGCATAGACTATGTCTCAAAAAAATACCATACATCAAAGGAAATACTAGGAAAAGTTAGCTGGCATACAACAAATTTTATATTTACAAAATAAATTAACTAAAGGAGTATTTTGGTAACACCTTTAAAAAAAAAACACACACAATTTTATTTTATTTTTAACCAAGCAGAACTACCTTTAAAAAGTCTTTTAGATAGTGTTTAACTATTACTTACATTCCAGCTTTCTTATTTTCTTTCCAATTATAAATATTTGAGGGAAAAGGGAAACAGGGTAAAAATATTTAAATTTAACTCTATAGGATTTTAACGACTCACTAGGAAAAGTATTCTAGAGAATCTGAAAAACACAAATATATAAGAGCTGGAATATAGGTGTTTTTGCATTTACTTTATAAATTACAGACTTTTCTTGGATGATAAGCAACTTTTTTTAAAGAAAGTAGCTAAACACTTATTTATAAAATAGCATGTACGTTATTTTCAATGAAAATGCAAAAATGTCAAGAATAGTTACATTCTTAAGTTACATAATTTTTGTCACATAAGGAAAAGGCAAGCCATTAACAGTTCCTACCTGTTGGTAGTTCTGTTGCTTAAGCTGCTCAATGTGGGATTTAAACAATTTGTTTTCCTCTTGTACCACCTAGGTAAACAAAAGTTAAACACATTAATTTAATGTATAAGGATTTTTATTTTCTATAAAAACTTTTGAAACATAGCCTACAAGCCAAAAAGTTCTATAATAGTAATTTTTAAAGGGCATAAATAAGTCCTATATTAAGACACATTATGAAGAATTAAATTATTCAGCACTGGTCTGGGAGTGGGATATGTCTCAGTAGAACAAAAGATCCAGAATACCTAAAAATATATAGCATTAGGTAACATTTCAAATCAATAAAAAGCTGTAGGGGTATTTTTGGGCTGGCTATTCCACTGTTGTATGGGCTGTATGCTGTATAGGATCTATGATTCCATCCACTAAATGAGGAGCATCCTTCTATGAGCTATGAGTAAAAATGTCTCCAGATACTGCTAAATGCTAATGATAATTGCTAACAAATTATTTCAAATTGTGGCTAGCTTTCTTTTATTAAAGAAAAGTTATGTGCATAATTCAAACTATATAGAATTTCTAAATAAAAAATGAAAAATTAAATTGTAAATATATTAAAAGAAAACATGAAGTGTTTTTATGATTATAGAGATAACTTTCTTCCCCAAACTTAAAACTACAAGGAAATGAAATTAAGAGAAAAATTTATATCATCTTACTTTATTACAAAAGGAAATTTCCCTGACATGTAAAATGCATCTTATAAATTAATAAACATCAACAAAGGGGAAAATGTGGAAAAAGAAAAAGGGCAATTCACATACAAATCAATTAAACAAATAAAGGACTTAACTCCTCACAAATGCAAATTAGAAACAATCCAATCATCATTCAAGCACAATGTCAAATGTGCCAGTGTAGAAAAGAAGAAACTCTGTAAGCAGGAGTGCAAATTAGTAAAAACATTTTTGTAAGTCAATTAACTGCCATCTAACAAAATTTAAAATAAACATACTTAGGTGAGAGAAGACGTGCAGAACTAGCCCTTGCAGCATAAAAATATGAGTAAGACTAGTCAGAGACAACGTAGGCATCTACAAATTTTCTATCACTTCAGGGGCCCTCCCTGGTGGCACAGCGGGTTAAAAGCACAGCACTGAGAAGCTAAAGCCGCTTCTGCATGAGTTCTATTCCCACCTGCCCCGGAGGTGACCACATGGTGTGGCAGAACCTCTCCTGACCAGCCCACTGCTACCCTCAGCAGTGTACTTCCTCGATCTGCCTGTTCTGCTCCCCACTCTGTCTCTGTTGAAGCCTCTCACCGCCCATGAGCCTCTGGCCTGTCCCCCAGTTCTGTATGCACAAATAAATAAATCTTAAAAAAAAAAAAATGAAAAATTTGCTATCACTTCGAATCAATGCTCTTTTGAGTATGATGAAATTAAGTACATGAAGGTAAGGATAAACTCATTTTCTAACTCTTTAAAAAAAAATTATATAAACCTTTGACCCAGAATTCCAGAATTTCACCTCTTGGAGTTTAACATTAACATTTGTGCCTAGTATAACTGTAACGTGTGTATAAGGATGTTAACTATAAAACTTCAACAGGGAACAACTAAATAATCCAATGAGATTACTATATATAAAATGGAATCATACAACAGAAAAACCCCAAAGCCATTAAAAGTTTAAGATTGAGGTCAGAATGACCTATATATCAAACACTAGGAACAGCAAGAGTTGTCAGGGATTTGGAGAGAAAGGGATTCTCATACACTATTGGTGGGAGAGTAAACTGGTCTAGCCTCCATGAAAACTGTATGCAGGTTCCTCAAAATTTTTAAAATAGATCTATCATTTAGCTCAAACCTTGCTTTCTAACTGAAGAATATAAAAACACTAATTAAAATATATATGTAGACTTCTATGTTCACTGCAACTATACATACCACAGTCAAGTTATATGGAAAAGACCTAAGTTTCCAACAAGGGATGACTAGCTAAAGATGATGTAATAGAGCATTACCCAGCTACAAAAATGCTAAAATCTTGCCATCTGTGGTAAGATGGTTGAAAATGGAAGAGATTAGGCTACTAGGAAAAGTGATAAGTAAGACAAATAATGGTTTTACTCATATGTAGAAGATACAGTAAGTTATCTAAGAAACAGCAAAACCAACCCTAGAAGTAGAACTTCAAGACTCAGGAAGGGATGGGGACCAAAGGGCATATGGGGTCCAAAGGACTGTGGTATAAGGATTACAGGGAGTTTTGTTGGTGAGTGTGACATGCAAACTTCATTTGCAGAGGTATAAACCTGAACTCTTAAAACATACACAGTATTGGGCCCTCCCTGGTGGCGCAGCGGGTTAAAGCACTGAACTAAGAAGCTTAAGCCACTTCTGCATGAGTTCGATCCCCGCCTGCCCCGGAGGTG